TTACAGGACAGTAGGACAACTGCTATAGTTTGGTTAAAAGTGTTGAATGTTTCTGGAAAGTTCAGGAAAGGATATTCCTTCAACAGGAAATTGCAAGAAACTTTACTACAGTCATGTGCCATATAACAACTTTTTAGTCACCGAGGACTGCATATATGATGGTGGTCCCTTAAGATGATAATAAGGGCCGGCAGGTGGTATGGTGGTTAAGGCACTGCACTCCCACATGGAAAACCGCGGTTTGAGTCCCAGACATGGTGGCTTGCCTTCTTACTTTCTCTCTCTCTGTTGAGTCACATGCCGTACACCAAATTTTTAAAATAATAATAAGAAATTAAATAAATCATTCTTTAAAAAATGGTAATGGGCTGTATCCTGGGGTCTGAGTGCACGGTGGGCTTTAACATCTAGGTTTACATAAGTACATTCTCTGAGGTTCCTGTCAATCACCTAAGGACACATTTCTTCAAACATTTTCAGAGTTGGGACCAGCAGTTAGCGTAATGGCTATGTCGCTGGACTCCCACGTAGTCGACCGCGGTTCGTGTCCCGGACCCGGTGGCTTAAAACCCACGCCGGGCGCATGTGCGTGCGTGCCCAAGATCCCGAGAGGAGAATGGAGGAGAAGGGATTGTGGCGTGACCATCCCCTCCGGGGGGTGATTTCTCACTTTCTGTCTCTCTGTCTCTCTCTGTCTGTCTGGCGAGTGAACGCGTCCTATAGTGAAAAACCTCTCAAAAAAAAAAAAACACCAAAAAAACAAACATTTTCACAGAGTTAAGTGACACATGACTGTGGTTTTATAGAATTGTTTTATTATATAATCTGGTTGAATCTTATAAATTATAATAAGAATAAAATTGTTTACCTTTTTAACTAAAAACTCTTTTAATAAAAAAAAAAGGCTGGGACCAGCAGTTAGCGTAATGGCTATGTCGCTGGACTCCCACGTAGTCCACTGCGGTTCACGTCCCGGACCCGGTGGCTACTAATCGCACGCTGGTCTCGTGTGTGTGTTTTTCCAAGATCCCCAGAGGAGAATGGAGGAGAAGGGACTGTGGTGTGGCCATCCCCCCTGGGGGGTGATTTCTTGCTTTCTATCTCTCTGTCTCTGTCTGTCTGGCGAGCACATGCGCCCTAAAGCAAAAAACCTGTCCGAAAAGAAAAAAAAAAAAAAGGCTACTAATCAAAGTTCATTTTTTAAGAGTCTAAGAGACTGAGGCATGTAATGACCTTATTTTAATAAACCCTTCCTAATTGTCCATGTTTCACAACGACCTCTAGCTTTTGACTATCTCAATAAGATATATTTTAAAATTTATTTCCTTTCCTTTCAAGGATTTTTTTTTTTTTTTTAGAGATTTTTGCTATAGGGCACAAGCACTCACCCAAGAGACAGAGAAAGAAAGCGAAGAATCACCTCCCAGGGGAGATAGCCACACCACAATCCCTTCTCCTCCATTTTCCTCTCAGATTTTGTAAAGGGTCTTATCCTGACATACAGTTTCCAGTATTGAAATAAAATGGAAAACATGATCCTAAGTTTATACAAAATCCTGCTTAAAGTATGGTAGGTCTTCAGAAAGTTAAACATAGAATTACCTTGACCCTGCAATCTACTCCTAGTCATATACCCAAGATTACTAGAAATACATATTCTCACGAAAGCTCATACATGAATGTTCATCCCAGCTTTAGTCATCGTTGTGCACTGCCTAAATGTCCATCAGCCAAATGTAGTGTATTTATACATAGGCAATGGAATATGATTTGGTCATAAAAAGGAATGAAATACATGCTACAACACAGAGGTACCTTAAAAACTTTTTGCTGAAGTAAATGGCCCCATGGTACACGACTGAGAGGAACTGTCCAGAAAAGGCAAACCCCTACACACAGAAAGCAGAGTAATGGTTACCAGGGGTTCAGTGGGAGGTGGGGTGGAAAGAATAAAGAGGAGTTAAGGGATACAGGATATCTTTTTGGGTGATGAAAGTGTTCTGGAATTAGACGGTGGTGATGGTTGCATAACCTTGCAAATATTCTAAGAACCACTGAATTGTGCATAAAATGGTAAATTGTATGGTATATGAGTTACAGCTCAACTGAAAAAAAAAAAGAGGGCCAGCAGGTGACATTGAAGTCAAAGTGCTGGATCCCACATAGCTAATTGCAACGTTTGAGTCCCAGACGCTGAGACTTGAAAATCACACTGTGTTTGTGTGTGTGTGTGTGAATACATCTCCAAAATGTCGAGAGGAGACTGAAGGAGAAGGGACTGCAGCATAGCCATCCCCCCAGGAGATGATTTCTCACTTTCCCTCCCTGTCTCTCTCTGGTGAGCGCACAAGCACTATGGCAAGAAAAACAAAACCATTCTTCTCAAGAGGGAAATTTTTAAAAAATTTGTTACTCTTCCTCCAGATTTGTCTTGGAATAACTTTTATTTTCATAAAGTGTCTTTCATATTATGAAAGACATATCCTTGGTTAGCCTTGGCATAAATTTGGCAAAGGTTACATTCTACATAATGAGTATCTATTGTGAGGTATGGCAGACAGGACAAGGGAGGAGACACAAAAGATTTGTAAAACTACGTAACAGAAAAACCAATCCCCACCTTCTTGTAAGTTCCTGCCTCAGAGTCAAGATGACTTACGCATGTATTTTATAAAATGAAAATTTTGCTCTCTGTAGCATACCATCCCTTCCCTCAAATAAATATCTGGGGATTGCTTGTACTTTTTATGGTAAGTATGAAAAATTGCATTTCCAACATTTTAAGAGGCATCATTGGTTTCAAGTGTTTCTATATATGGGAAGCATATGCACAATGTAGGTTCTAGAACAGATCTCAAAGCGTGTGATGTTCCTTCCAAGAAATACCCTTCATGGTAGCCAATCCTTTTTATTTATTTATTTATTTATTTATTTATTTATTTATTTATTTTGCTATAGGACATGTGCGCTCACCAGAAAGACAGAGAGACAGACAGAAAGAGAGAAATCACCCCCCAGGGGGGATGGCCATACTGCAATCCCTTCTCCTCCATTCTCCTCTCGGGATCTTGGGCACACACACACATGCACCCGGCATGAGTTTAAGCCACCGGGTCTAGGACTCGAGCCATAGACAACTACATGGGACTCCAGCAACATAGCCATTACACTAATTGCTGGTTCCATGGTAGCCAATCCTTATTCTTTAGGACAGATTTAGTTTAGGGAAGAGTTGGATGACGCAGGAACAGTCAAAGGTGTCACCATTTTAATAATTCCAGTTTTTAAAATCAGATTTACTGTGTGACTATGAGCATAGAGACCACTGTTTGCTGTGATTTATCAACTTGCTTTTCAAACTGCCCCCATAGAGAAATGAAAGAAACAACATGAGTGATGGCAGGTCTATGAACAATATATTTGTGCATAAAACTAAATGCATGCTCAATTAAAGGAAAACAACATCAGTCCTACATGCTGTAGACGCAGCTCCTCGTAAACATGATAGTTTCCACTATTGGGAATAAACTGGGAAACAGGGCCCTGTGTTTGTACAAAACCACGATGTTGCTACTGCAGGCAGCTCTGTCCTGTGGAAGCTGTGTGGACGGGGTCAGTGCTGAGAGCAAAGCTGATGGGGGCTGGCTGCCCTGTGAAAACACATCCTGGCCAGAGGACCCTTCACTCTACAGAATAAAAACCAGGAGGAGATCTGATGAACACAGGAATTCCTAAAGGTCTAGAACTTTCAGAATGCCACAGATTCCGAGGGAATTTGCTGACAGAAAAAATATAGTTTTTTTTTTTTTTTTCTAAAAATAGCTAGCAATTTCCCTGAGCAAGTTGCCTTAACTAGAATAAATCCACCAGCATCCTCCTAGAAAAAAACAATAGCATTATTCACCATGGCTAAAATGTGGAAACAACCCAAATGGTCACTGACAGATGAATGGATAAAGAAAATGTGGTTACACGTACAATGGACTATTATTCGGCCTTAAAAAGGAATGGAATTCTGACACATGCTGCAACATGGCTGAATGTAGAAAACATTATGCTAAGTGAAACAAGCCAAACACCAAAGGGTAAATACTGTATGATCCCACTTAGAATGTTCCGACTCACAAAGACGGAAAAGTAGGACACAGGTGACCAGGGGCGAGGGTCAGGGAGGGGGGACGGTAAAGGGAAATGAGGAGTCTTTATTTACAATGAGTAGAGTTTCTGTGTGGGATGATGAGAGCTCTGAAAATACATAGTGGTTACAGCTACACAACATGGTGAAGTACTTCATGTCACTGACTTGTACACTTAAAAATGGTTAAAAAGGTAAAAATGTATGTTTTATATATATATATATATATATTTTACCACAAATTATTAAAAAGCAAAGACACTCCATCCATTCACAGGAAGTCTGACCTAACTTACTCTTGTTTCGGCTCTGACCTCAACCTGGCCTGGCTCATTTTCCCATCATCACCATCATCATTGTTACTATTTATTTCTCCCATGGGTGTGGGTAACAGAGAAAGAGAGACAGACAGACAGCACCCTCAACAGAGTCTATTTTTTTTAAGAATTATTTTATTTAACTTTATTTGTTTATTTTAATTTGACCAGAGAGGGACAGCGTGAGAAAGAGAGAAGTAAAGTGAGAAAGCAAGCTGCCAGGTCTGGGAATTGAACCGTGGTCAGCCATGTGGGAATCCAGCACCTTAACCACTATACCACCTGCTGGCCCATCAACAGGGTCTTATCTCTGCGATGCACCTCCAGCCTCCGACAGCCCCAGATCGTGGGTACGCATGTGCCTGGTGTACTCAGGGAGGTCTCCAGATGTGGTCCAGAACCTCCCCATGTGGGTCAGTTCACAGGGCGGCATGATTTACCACTGTGCCACCGTCCAGCCCCTTCATTTTCCCATTGCTAACATGCTCCACCTCCCCTGTGGACTCCCCTGAGCTCACAGCACCCAGCCCATTCCCAGGGCAACTCACCGGGCCGGAGGTCCAAGGTGATCTCCTGTGGCGCCATCTGAATGACATCAGAGCCTGCTGAGCTGGAGCCCTTGCTGCTGAGGGGCAGGTCCCGCAAGACGTGGGTGCTGCTGGCCGGGCTCTCGATCTCGCCCCCACAACCATTCCGGATGAGGTTTGCTCTCAAGTCACACCGGGAGGTGACTGCCCTTGGGCTGCCGAAGTCCTAGGCAGTGAAAGAGGAAGAGGAGAGAGCAGGCAGTGTCAAGGCTCTCAGGTCTAGACTCATCGCCATCTGGTTGACCTTAAACTCTGCATGGCACTTCCACTGTCTGAATACGGAGAAAATGATCATCTCTAGCCCAAATGCATCACTGATTATTACAAAGACTCACTGAAGTGCTGTAGGATGTAAAGGGATAATGAAATGTTTCCTTTCATTGTTATTTTGATGTCAAATGCTCCCAACTGCCAACAGACATTAGCAAGAGAAAGAAATTGAAATGGTCAAAAGTTGTGTGACAGAATTTTTTGAATAAATGACATAGAAGGGACCAGCAGATGGCATAATGGTTACAACATTGGACTCTCATGTAGTTGACTGTGGTTCAAGTCCCAGACCCAGTGGCTTAAAACTCATGCCAGGCCCATGGGTGTGCATGCCCAAAATTCTGACAGGTAAATGGAAGTGAAGGGACTGCAGCATGGCCATCCCTCCTGGGAGGGGATTTCTTACTTTACGTCTCTCTGTCTATCTCTGTCTCTCTGGTGAGCACATGTGCCCTATAGCAAAAATCTCTCAAGAAAAAAAGATACAGAAGTTGCTCAGAATGTCTCGCTCAGGCATTCCGGAGTTACCTCTTGACTTGTTCACTCCTCAGCTTTTGCAGGCATTGGACACCACACAGCCATTCAGGAGAAGGATGTGGCTGAGTAGTGAACAGCGACTCATCAGTCTGCGCCTAAAAATGCATTCAAATAATTGGGGCTGGCAGGTGTCATGGGGGTTAAAGGCACTGGACTCCCATATGGCCGATCACAGTTCAAGTCCCGGACCTGGTGGCTTGCTTTCTCACTTTCTCTTTCTCTCTCCCTCTCTCTCTCTCTGTCCCTCTCTGGTCAAATGAAAATAAATAAAATACATAAAGTTAAAATAAAATAATTCTTTTAAAAAAAAGGAAAGGTATTCAAATAATCCAAACAAAGGGGAGCTATAGGAAGATATCTACTGCATATTATCTGTAATATCACAGAGACTTAAAAACCTAAATCCTTAAACCACAAGAAAAAATATGATATGTCACACCAATAGACGACAACAATGGAACTAAGGTAGGAGACAGGAATCCTAAAAAGATAGTTAGGGTACAGGCCCAAACTGGAATCACAAAGTGGCTAAGTTTTGAGAGGAGACAAAGCAGCTCAGCTGCTTGCTCCAGAGACCTTGCAGCAGTGGCTCAGTGGCTGCCCTGGGCAGCATGACCTAGACCTAGAGCAACGGCTTTTTCCAGACTTCGCCACATTCCAGGAAGAGGATAAGATAATGGTTTTTATAGACAAAGACTCTCCTGACCTTGGTACCCGCTCCGAAATTAGGAAAATAATTGGACGCATCCAGCACATGGCCCTCCCCACCCTGAGGGTAATGAGGCCTGAGCCCACCTAGAACAAGCCTAAATAAGGCCTCTCAGACCCAGGTAAAAACCCCTTGCCCCAGTTCCTCTTCAGCAATCCATTTTCTGGGGCCCCTCCCTTCTTGGGAGCTCTATTCTTCCTTCCCTCTCCTTCAGTCAACTCCCCGCTTTGCCATACTGCTTTCTGTGTCCGCGTCTCTAATTCTTCCTGAGTGTGGGAAAGAACCGTGAGTGTTCTTGTTCTCACACTGTGAGTGCGGGACTCAATCACCACTGCATCCCTGCATTCCTG